AATGAACTACAGCCATAATACAATAATGTGGATGAACTGCAAAACATAATGTTGAATTGATAAAAATGCAAAATAGTGTTACATATTGTATGGTTCCACTGATGGAGAGAGCTTAAAAACAGACCAAAGAAAACTAAATGCTTAGGAACTTCATAATTAAAAAAATGATGAAGAAAGTAAAATTTTAAAAGGTCAGTAAGATATGGTCCCTGCATTTTGTGACTCACTTCTAGTAAAAAAGACATTTACATGACAAACATAAAAATAATGTATAAATGAGGCAGATGAGGGAGACCAAAGACTGGTATGCCATAGGTTTCAGAGGGCTGGGTCCAGGTGCTTCACCTGGTAACTTGCTTACTGAGCATTTTTGCCACATTTCTTCAGCAGCAAGTTTTTTAAAAAGTTCAGAAATTAGCAATGATCAATTCAGGAGCATCACCAATTTAAATATAGATGGGACACAGGATTGGTAACTTTATTTCTTATTAGGCAGCTCCCAACCTTTGCTCTCTGAAAGGCTTCAGCGGCTTTCTTGACAAGTCACATCTATTTCTGCTGTGTGTTTTCATCTTAGGCTGTCACTTACAGGTATAATCAATTGAGACCTTGCAATTTGTTCAGAGAACAAAAGCTGTGATGTCTTTACTAACTTAATAACAGGCCTGCCATGCCTCTCTTTAATAAGTGGGAATTTTGGGAATCAAGTGGAGAAGCAGTTTTAAGGAAAATGTGGCTGCAAAGAAGACTTAAGTTTCCATACTACACTCTGAGTTGATTAATTATGGTTGGATTCTGAATTGGTTGCCAAAAATGTTGAGGAGATCTGAATTCCAGTGGAATCTTTTGATAGCGCAGGGCTGCTCTTAAGAGAACGCTTCCCCTGGAGAGAGTGAAGGGCGTTCCCTTGGAGAGAGTGTCATTACAGGCATTTCGTGGAACCCACACAACCTTCCCCTGCAGGTGCCGACAATTCCCTGACTGCGATCCTTTGCAGAATAAGTCCTACATACGTGGGAGAAGACAGGGGATGCCAGGGAACTGGTGCCAACAATAAATGACTTAGGGCAGCTACGAACCTGCCAGTTACCTGGAATATGGCAACGGGTCCTCAACTAATATGCTTCCTTTTAACACTGTGACAAGAAACAATCTCCATCAACATCAAAAGAAATGACTTTGGGCCCTCCCTGGTGGTGCAGCGGGTTAAAGCACAGCACTAAGAAGCTTAAGCCACTTCCGCATGAGTTCAATCCCCGCCTGCCCCGGAGGTGACCACATGGCATGGCAGACCTCTCCTGACCCGCCCGCTGCTCCCCTCAGCAGTGTACTTCGTCGATCTGCCTGTTCTGCACCCCACTCTGTCTCTGGTGAATCCTCTCACCCTCCGCATCTCTGGCCTGTACCCTAGTTCTGTATGAATAAATAAATAAATCTTAAAAAAAAAAAAAGAAATGATGTTATTTAAGGATGTGTTTTCATTATCATTTGGCTTAAAGTAATGGTTTGTAAGTACCTATTCACCACACCGATTAAGGATTTTTATTTGGGTAGCACAGGTTATTTCACTAAAGTGCTATGTCTCTGCTTACTGGGAAGAATTGGCCTGCAACTTCAAAAGAAGAGCTGTTGCCTTGACCCTAGGTAACTCCGATAAGAAAATTCCTGGGTTTCTTTAGTAGAAGAGAACCCATAGACAGGAAGCCAGGTTGATGGCTATGGACGAAGAAAAAGCCCAAGTTATAACCAGAGTTATGAGGGTGGGATTACGCCTTAGAAATCAATCTAGAGTTCCTTAAAAATCACTTCCCAGCATCTTTTGGATTCTGATTTATTTTTCACCTAAATACTACTCTCCTCCAAACTACAGAAAAAAATTGAACTGTTTTGTGGAAAGACAGCAAACATCAACTTTCTTTCCCTCAAAACACACAGAGAACTAAAAAGCTAAAGTATATAAAAACCAGGAGGAACTCCAGAGCAATCAATTACTTTGCAATTAATTTCCACTTTAAGGCTCTAACCTAGAGTGGATCTGGCGTCAGCTGAGTGGGCGTCAAGGATCTTCTGTTTGCTGTGTGATCTTGAGCGACTCCTTTAAATCTCTGAGCTGCAATTTCCTTATTTGTAAAATAAATATCAGACCAAAATTTTATCATTAGTGTAAGCATGACTGCTAGAGACATGTCCGTGAAAGTATTTTGTAAAAATGTCTTTAAAATGATACTTCTTAATCTAGGGGTTTGTACTTAAATCTACAAACTTCCAAGGGGGACTTTGGTTCCTTCATTTCTTTAATCAACTGCATAAATACATAAGATCCAGAACTTGCACAAATAAAATTTCTCATAATTTTTAATAATCATTAAATGTGATTTCCCCTGCCACCCCCCTCCCCCCAAAAAGCAATTTAAAGGTTTTCTAAGTAATCATTTCTCAAAGACAAGTAAATTATGGATATAAAATATTTGCCCATTTATGATTCAGCCAAACTGAGTGAAAAGGGTATTTGCTTTGGAAGCGAGTAGCTCAAATGAAACTTACTCCTGGTAACTCCCAAGTCATTTATCAGACTTTCATTGTATGTAGTTATGCCTCAGGAATTTAGGACTCACCCATATTCCTGTGTTACATCATGAGGCTACATAATTCTAGTGTGTTGGGGTTTTTTAATTTTTAATTATTAATAAACTACCAATGACAAAAATGAAATGTAATTGCTTCTAATTGTTCTATCTTCAAGTTAACGGTTCTTTCCTTGTCTCCACTATTCTACTGTTGAGCCCATCCAATGATGTTTTAATTTCAGCTATTGTATTTAATTCTAAAATTTCTAATAGATTCTTCATTCTCTATTTCTTTGCTGAAACTTCGCTGACCCTATGCTATTATCTAAACAGTATCTTTTAAAATGAGGAGACATGTGGCTGCCAGCTTCCAATGTAGCCTCCAATGTTCGGTCTCCTCTTCACCCCCTTGTGTAACCATCGCAAGCAGCAGATGTGCCAGTTGATCCTTCTGAGGTTAGGTTATGCAGAGCTGTGGCTTCTGCCTCAGGCACCCCCCTTCACCCATGCAACACTTAGAGCCCTTGCTCTGGGTGGAGTGAGATGTTCTGTGGTCAGGTTCCACTCGAGGACCTCTCTACCACTTACTAAAAGACAAAGGAGAAGCTGGATAATCTTGTGACTTCTGTTTTCTCTATTTGGAAACTGATACCACTTTTGCCTTACCGATTTTTCAGAGTTATTAGTATCACAGTAGATAAAATCTGTGAACAAATTACACAGCTATTCCAACCCTTATTTAACAGACAGAAGTTTGAATTCCAAAGAAAAAGAATTGACAGAGGGGGCACTAAGCAACAGAGGAATGGCAGGCCATGTTGAAGCTTAAATTATTTAGAAAAAGAGCCAGAACCCAGTTTTGAAGCTTATGACTTCAAGTCCAGTTAATTTCTTGATATACCTGAAGTAGCAAGTGCTGTTATTAAATATCACCCCCATGCTACAGAAAGGGCAGATAAGTGGATTGTGAATGAGAATCCCAAGAAAACTGCATTCCTTCTATGGTATATCAAATGTGGGCTTCATACAACAGGGTCAGAGTTGTTCCAGGTCAGCTTTTACCTTGCGAAGCTAAAGTAAGTCTATTATTCCTTTCTCTTCTGAGTTGCTGTCTTCCCAACAAGGAGTTTAAGCAAATGGGCCCCCAGCCAGAAGGTGAGTAACACCATCTCCTTGCTCCCAAACTATTCAGAATAGGCTAAATGCACCTTTTAAAAAAATCTCTAGACTAGATGACATCCTATCCTTAAATTACAAATGTTCCTTTTTCATGCAATTTTAGCAAAGGATAATTGACAAAAAGGAGAGAAAAGAGTATGCGAGTGAACAAGATCAGATTATTTGTGCAATAGTGACTAACTTCAACAGAGTTTCAACTTTTTAATTAAAAATTTTCTCAGTGCAGTATTTTTGTAAACCACCTGAGACTTAGTCTTCCCCTCAACTTCAGTCTAGGGGAAAAATGTTTTTAAAACATTGAAAAAGCAGCTCACTTCAAAGATTTTAAAAAAGTATGTTGACTCAATCTGGATAGGAAAATGTAAACAAAAATTTTCGTTGGATAGGATAAATTTTTTTCCATTCTTAGTTTTGTTTTGAATTTTAAAATCTTTTGTGTATTTACTACATAGTAATATTCTATATATAAAATACATATTTTTACATTTTTTACTTTAAAATTCAAATTTTATACAGCATCTCTCCTAATAGAATGGGATTTAATATCTTTTATTGGATTTAAATAGCATTATGATTTAGTTTTTCACTCTTCATGTGTGTCAGTTAAAGTTCTTCAGTTGTAAGCAACAGAAACTAATGCTGCCTACTTACAAAAAGTGACTTATTAGAAAAGTATGGGAGAGTAAAAAGTGAGGCCTTCCTAGAGAATTAGGAAGCCACCGAGAACATACACTCTAGTGACATAAGGCCCTGCCACTGAAGTAAACCAACATGACAACTATTTGTTCTTCCTGTGCTCATATTATTCTAAGTTGCAAAGCCCTCAGAGGATGACATTCTGCTTGACCAAAGCTGTGCCATGTTAGAATGTCCGGAACTGATGAGCAGAAGACAATAGGAACAATCTCCCAGGTCTCCTCTATTTCTGGAAGAACATGTTGAAGATCCCATCCCACCAACAGAGCCCTCAACAGTTGAAAAACCTGCCACTCCAAAAGGAGATGAAGATATTATTCAGAAGGCTCAAGGTCCAGTGTGTCAGCGATTCACTCACACCACTGAGTGTGACACTTGTGAGTGTGAGAACTGTCTTCCAGCAGGACTTTTGATGGGAGACTCACTCACGCCCTTCCTCCAAACCTACCAAGGATCAGCAAAGACATCCTCTGGGTATTGTATCTTGCTGTGAGGCTTTAGAGCCAAAAACTTTAAGTTACACAAATAAGGTCCAATTCCCATTTAAATTTATCCTACATCTGTTGTCACGGTGCCTATACTGTGACCCTAGGTCCTTCCATTTGGCCACAGCTTTTTCCTGAAGAATGCTGTTAATTGGCATTACATGAAAATATAAAGGGAAAGGGACTCCTGGTGCAATAAATGCTGAAGAAATATTGGTTAAACCAAGTCTAGAAGTCAGTTTGTTGATATATATTGACCATCCTACTCTATTTTCTTTAAGATACTTAATACTAACCCGCACAGGCTTGGCGACACAAGTGGCATACCAGCATTTTTGGTAGAGGTGAAAGTGTCAAACATTTTATTAACATTCAGTTAAAAAGCTTCACACCTGTGGTACACTAAGATATAGGAGTGCTACTTCTTAAAGAAGCTTCCCTTAGAACCTGGTTGTTGGCTTAGAAGCTGTGAGACTTTGGTATTTTTAAACAATTCATGGTCGTGGTCTAGGTCTGGATGTTGTATGTCATTTTCTTCTTCCTTGAGGGAAAAGAGATAAGGTTATACCTCCTAGCACTCAGCACATTTACTGCCCATTTGACTCCTTAACTATTGTGGATTAGAATGTGCTCTAAGTCAGCCGCATGGCTCCTTCAGAAGTGAGAATAGGGAGAAGCGATGGAATGTCTCTTAGGATAGATCTTAATTGCACTTTTCATGTATATGTGGTGAGATACATGTCACATAAAACTTACCACCTTTACTCATGAAGTGGACAGTCCAGTGGCATTAGGTCCATCCCCAATGATGCGCAACCACCCCCACCATCTATTTCCAGAACTTACATCTTTCCAAACCAAAAATCTATTAAACAACTTCCATTTCCTTCCCACTGCCCTCAGCTCCTAGCTCACCATAGCTTATTTTTAACTGCAGTTTTGATACACAGAACACTGCCCTCACAGTGAATAAGAAAACAATGGAAATAGCTGTTACTTTTAGATCAGATGTCTAATCTGGAACCCCTTGATGAATACAGTGTATCTGACCACCCCCTCTTTATTAGATGAATCTCCAGATTTATGAAGTTTTCATGGAAGATGCTAACCTAGAAGATATTAATTGCCACTGGGCATTTTTGAGCATCCTTTTGGTCCCAAGCCAAGATTAGCTGCTTTCAGTTGGCAACAGCCACAAACTAAAATAACAACAATGACAAAATAATAATTAAAAAGAAATTTGGTCATCTTTGTTGTAAATCCCTACATTTTGCTGATGATTTAAATTTGATACCTACCAGCTCACTTAAGAACTTTGAGCTGAATTTCCACATATGAAAAATATCCAATGCAAGCCCACATTACACCACAGTGAGATGCCACTGCCTGTCTATTAGGGTGTCTATGATAAAAACAGACTATTGCAAGTGTTGACAAAGGGGCTGAGAATGAGAACATGCTGCGACATCACCATGGATAACCAGACCGGGGTTCTAATAAAAATAGCATGACCATATAATTCAGCAAGTCCCCTACTGGGTATATGCCCCAAGGAATTGAAAGCAGAAACTCAAACAGACCATGTTCATTGCTATGAACCCACACACCCACAGCAGCTAAGAGCTAGAGGCAGCCTGAATGTCCTTCAGGGAACAAAAGGGTAAACAAGATGGTACTTTCCAGATGATGAGGTATTGTTCAACCTTAAAAAGGGAAGAAATTCTGACATGTACTATAACACAGATGAGCCATGAAGAAAGGATGTTAAGTGAAATAAGCCAGACACAAAAGGACAAATACTGCCTGGATGGCACTTACCTGAGGTACCAAGAGTGGTCAAATTCACAGAGACAGAAAGCAGAAAGGTGATTACCAGGGGCCAGGGGGAGAGGAGTGGGGCGCTCTTATTCAATGGGGACAGATTTGGGCTGGGACGATGAAAACATTCTGAAGATGGTACGATCCACTTACTGTACTTATTGCCACCAAACTGCACACTCAAATGGTGGCAATGTCACATTATGCATATTTTACCAGAAAAAAGTTTTAAAACTTTCTAATGCTATCTGATCATTATTTCCATGTCAGCAGAATATTTAGAAGCCTCTTGCAATGTTTATCCCTAAGCACCATATTCTGGAGATAGAAATGGATTAAGTGGCAAAATGTTTTTTTTTTTCCTAAAAGTTAGGCCTGCCTGAGTTGTTTGCATTTCTTAATAAAAAGTTACTTTATCATCACTTCTACTTCCTCCCCTTTCCAGTCTCCAAAAGATATATATGTAGGTTAAAAAAAAAAAAAAAGCGAATTATAAGCCAGAGACAGCAAGACACACGTCTACAGGACTAGAATAGTTTTCAGAAGCCAGGAGGCTGCTGGTGCTCAAAGGTAGCTCCGACAGCATGGATGGGGGGGCACTCAGCTGAGTCACCTGCTGGGTGACAGCCAGCTGAGGTGGTTCAGCAGGAGGCATGGCCTCCTCTGCCGCTCTGAAGTCACTTACCTCACAGAAGTGGTTCTCAATAATGTTTGAGGCAGTCAGGGCAACCTGGCGGTTCTCATGGAGCTGCAAGGCCTCGATTCTATCAATTCCACCAACTTCCTCAATCAGGAGAAACAGGTATTCCTTCTCAGAAAGTCTCCCTGCAGCCTGTGGGCAGGACGAGAACTGAGGCTCTGGGCAGGGGCCCGAGGGAGGCAGAGTTTCAGCTCAGTGGACTCAACCTAAGCCTAATGGGCAGCTGCGCTTTCATTCTTCCCTAAATGGACCTAAAATGCCAGGGTTTTCTCCCGTTTTGGACAGTCCTCGGATTTTGGAAACACATATATGCACACATATACATATACAAATACATACACACATATATAGGCTTACATTCATGGCCCAAAATACTTCTTTTGCTGAATACACTGCCATCCATACATAGGCTACTATTTATAGGCCTAATGAATGGGCTCATTTTAAACACAGTTTGAAAGTGGGGTTAAGTATTGCTGGGGAAGTGAAATCACTCTGGCTCTGCTTCTTGGGGAGGTCTGGGTAGAGAAGTCAGGAGACCCTCGGCACAGAAGTCACCTGCTCAGAGAATGGTATCCTCGGGACAAATACTGTGAATGGGTTTATTCCAATGCTTGTCCCTGGAGGGGACCTGCTCCCCCAGGGCTATTTCATCACTCAAACATGTGCTCCTGTCCTGTGGGAGAGGCACACGGACTAGAGCAAAAGATGCAACTTAGAGAAGGTCTTTTCATAATTCATACTATGGCAAGAGTTGAGTAATTGTTACAGTAGAAGACGTATAAAGCAGTTTAAGTTACAGAAAATGTGTAGGGAGGCTTGGAAAACAAAACAACTTCTTAATGAATTCTACAGGCTAGAGTGTGTCATAGGATAATGACATTCCTCAAAAAAAGGGCAGGCAAGGACAAAGGATTGAAGAAATGAAAGTGTTGTTTATGATGAGAAGGGGGAGTAGCTCAACTAAACAGCGCACTTGGGGCAAATCAGAGCAAGATTAAGAAACACTTTAGAGGGGCCTGCCTGGTGGTACAAGGGTTATGTCTCAGCACTGTGTGGCTGTCAGCAGCCACTGCAGCTCGAATTCTGTCCTTGGCCAGGGAGCTGACCCACATGGCACAGCAGGCCTCTCTTGTCTTGTCTGCTGTTCCCCTCAGCAGTGTGTTTCAATAGATCTGCTGTTCTGCGCCCCACTCTGTCTCTGGCCTCTCACCCCCTGTACCTCTGACCTACACCCAGCTCTTATTTGCATAAATAAATCTTTTTTAAAAAAACCACCTTGGAGTGGATGCTCATAGGATAGAAAATTAAATGAACTTTTAAATATATGTATATATTTTAAAGATTTATTTACTTATGCATACAGAACTGGGGTGCAGGCCAGAGGAGCAGGGGTAGCGAGAGGATTCACCAGAGACAGAGTGGGGAACAGAACAGGCAGATGGATGACGTACACTGCTGAGGGGAGCGGCAGGCCAGTCAGGAGAGGTCTGCCGCACCATGTGGGTCACCTCCGGGGCCGGGGATCAAACTTGCACTGAAGTGGCTGCAACTAGCTTGCAGTGCTGCACTCTAACCTGTTGTGCCACAAGGGAGGGCTCTGTATATATATATTTTCAACCAAAAAAGAAAAACTTTGGCATCCAAGTTTTTTCTCTGAGGGGCTCTGCTCACTAGTTTTTGAACAGTAATAAGAAATCTCCCATGGGTCAACTCAGACATTATTCAGGCCAGAATGCTGGCCTGATGAGCTTCGGCCCTGCATGTCCAAGCCTAGATACTCTCTAGTTACTTACTGACTTTGAGTGAAGAAATTGAAGCATGCACCAAAACATGACATTAGCCTCAGGAAGAAAAGTGGGAAGTGGGGATTGACCCAGAGCAGCAGGAAGCCTGGGAGTGGGTTTTGGATCTTAACTCAGCAAGTAGCCCCCAAAATTAATTGACCTGTACTCAGCTGCCCCTTGAAATATCCTCCTATCCAATCTCAAACTTTCTAACCTACTGTTCCAGTTTATTGATCTGATAGAGGGGCCTCACTGTCCATCAGGTGCAATTTGCCCAGGCACTCCCAAGACAAAACTCTTAGTGTCTACTTCAAATGAAGTAGATGAAGTTAAATTCTGGTAGCCCACAAGGGAACTTTCACAAACCTATGTCCAGTTTTGTCTGCTGGTTTCCAAGGCTCTACTCTTGATCTGTGTGATCTGCTCAAAGTCTCAGTGTCTAATTGGGCTGTGTTTCAAGTGTGATCTTTACTCAAGTCAGTTCTAAGACAGTTACATGAAAGGATGATTAAAGTGGGGGGGAGGGGACTTAAAAGGAGTTGCCTGGTGTTACTTTGAAACTTTCCAAAGTTTCATATAAAAGGACATTAACCAAACTAATAGTGCCAGCCTCCCAGGTGACCCCAGTGATTCCCTGCCTCCTGGTATTCATATCTTATATAGTTCCCTCCCATGTTGAATAGGGACTAATCTGTTAAAACCAGTAGGCTGCTGTAGAAATGATCTCTTAAGACCAGTCTTAAAGGCCATGCACTTCGGCCTTGATCCTTCACTCAAGAGGAAGCCAGCAGCCATGATGTGAGGACACTGGAGCAGTCCCACGGGAAAATTCACATGGCAAGAGTAACCTGCTAAGTATATAATTAAGTCATCTTGGAAGATGATCCTCCAGCGTTCAGCAACCTTCAGATGAGATTGAAGCCCCCCTTGACATTTTGATCCTCATGAGAGACTCTGAGCCAGAACCATGTAGCTAAACCAGCCCAGATTCCTAATCCCAAAAGCTACATGAGATAATAAAAAGGTTGTTGTCTCTAATTGGATAGTCTGTTTTCTAGCAATATAGAATGGACACAAATCGTATACAAACATTGGCTTAGTTTAGCTTTTGTCCAGAAGCATGACTTTTCTGGAATGTTTAGTTTATCAGACAGTTGGGCTTCAGTATGGCCATGAGATCTACTCCTGCTAACTTCTTGCTGCTCTTCAAGTGCATTCTATGGTTTGGCCTTTGAAATGAACCATCCACATGACTCTTCCTACTCCAAGCCATTCATCGACAGTCTCACAGAACATGTAAGCTAATCCCTAGCTATCCTGAATCTGGACTTCTGTCACTTCCCATCCCTTTGTTCTGCTCTGTCTACACCCCTCTCAGTCCTAGTTTTTCCTTTCACCTACAATCTTCTTCCCACGACAGCCACAGGACTCACTTCTCAGGCTTTTCCTCAGATGTTCTTCCTAAGAGAAGTTTCTCATAATTGCTGCACATAAAAGACCAACATCCCCTTCATTCTCAGCCATCATGACTATCCCTTTTCCAGATATTTTACCCCCTACCCTCTAAGGGATGGATCTGCCTACCTCCCTACTAGTACCTCCACTCTATTTGAGTGAGGGTTTTGTTTGGTCATATCTTAAGCATCCAAAAATAGTGCTGGGTGCAAAGACACTCATTTGAGAAAATGAAGATGATGAGCCCTTCTTGGACAGCCTCTTGCTTTCCTTGTCCTTAGGATGTACAGACACAGAGAGAGGGTGGGTGAATGGAGAGGAAAGAGAATCCTTGGGTTTTAAGAACCAAATTAAATGTCTTTAATTTTAAGACTGCTATTTAGAAACCAATCTGTTCAGAAATGCTTACCTGGAAGATATTAGAGATGATATCAAGGATGATGAGAACAATCTTGGTGTCTTGGACAGTGAGCAGATTCACCAGTGGCTGCAAGACTCCAGAGTGGACAAGCTGGATTAACTGGTCCAAGGTGCCCCCCATTGTGAAGTTAGCGACTGTCCAGACAGCCTCTTTCTGAACTTTAAATTCTCCCTGCAGAAAGAGAATGTTTACATTCATTACAGATCCTGAAGCATTTAAATATAGTGATGCTAAATTGGTTCAATTTCTAGGAAGGCTGGTGACAGCCAGGACTCTATGTGCAATTTACATGGAATGCCTTGGCAACCTGCCTCAGATTTTGAGCAGATGAAAGCATCTTTGAGCAGACGAGAAGCAGGCAGGCAGGCTCATCATGGGTCCTAGAGGAAGGCTCTGAGGTCAAACATAGTAGTTTCCCTTAAGTCAGGTTATGGGAAATGTAAGCCAAATAAGCCAAATCATGCTTGGAATTTTAGATTGTGGTGACCTCTGTCTGCATTTCTAGTCATTCTGACCCAGTAAACACTGGACAAAGAAGCTTCATAGCTATAAAGCTGAGCACATAGGTAGGATCTCAGGGACTCAGCCGAGATCAATGAATCCTTGCACTTATAAAAAGCACTGCCCAGAGATATATGAATATTTTATCATGGCTCCTTCCATCCCTGAGCAGAAGGAGTTATTCCTATTTTGTATCTGGGGAAAACTGTGATGTTAATTCAAAACCAAAAACACAAAACAATTTGTAACTCTAATGGGGTTGAGAAGGCAGCGTTTGAAATGATTACTCCTTGATTCACATCTGGGTGTCTACTAGGATGTGTACAGACTCACAGCAGAACGCAAGACAGGAAGTATCGCGTGTGTAGAATAATCACACCTGGCCCAGCTGTTCGTACCTAATGCACACTGGGGAACCCGCCACCCAACCTGAGGGCACGAACTCCCTCATAGATTCTCCTCCCACCCCACTTCACTAGCCTCCCTGCTCCCAGCCTAGCTTGACTTGTTTTAAATGCCAGTGGTTTCAACTCGTTGATCCATTAAAAGGTGGCAAAAAATCAAACAGTGATGATAATGGTTGGCCAGGGAGAGGGAAATGGAAATCAGGAGAAATAAGGAAGCTTTATTGTATTTCTACTTTTATCTCTGGATTTTCTGTGTATATTACCACTTTAATCAATGTGATTTTTTACACTGAAAAGGCCACCTTTCTTCAGTCTATAATATCACCATAACCTGATACGTTTTTCCTCCTAAAACAGAGCCAAACCTCCTCCCTCGTTTGGCAGGTAGAGAGTAGGTTCTTTTAACACTACACAGAGATAAACCAGTACTTACCAGCTCAAGATTTTTTATTTGAGCTGTGGGGGCACCTTCTCGTCAAGCAATCTTAAGTGGCATCCAGAGAGGGATGCCACTTCCTTCTTTTAGGGAAGAGTTGGGAAACTCACGTGTCATAGCTTCGTTGTGACCTCAATTTGCCCCTTAGCCAGTGTCTGAATTCCTGACAGGAGCTCACCCCAGGGCCACTTGGAAAGTGGTGTGGGGCCACTTACATTTTTGAGCAGCGCCACCAAGAAAGGCAGCGTGCCGTAAGAAATTAGCTGCTGGATGTGCTGGCAGGGCCCCGCCGCCACGTTGCTCAGGGCCCAGGCGGCCTCCTTCTGGATGGAGGACTTGGGGTGTATCAGGAGCTGGGGCAGCACATGCAGCATGCCAGCGTCAATGGCCACCTGCGTCTGGCCATCTGTCCCCGTGACGATGTTCCCCACAGTGCGGAGAGAGGGGGTCTGCAAGAATCAGACAAGGTATCTCACTGAGCAGTGCACATTTATCCCAGTGAGAGACTCTGTGCCCTCCCAAACATTAGGTGTGCTGTGCGGAAGGCTCTCTGGACTTATATGAGCAACAACGAAAACCATGATCCTTATTAATTCCACGGACATTTATGTAGTTTAAAGGTAGCAGGTTGAATGGGACAGAAGTCAAAGGCTACCTTTGTCAAGAAGAGATGCTGTCCCTTTCATGGCCTTCCATTGGGAAATAGCTAAATTGACTCTGGTGTTTATAATGTAATCATTTCTACTGAATCAATATTTAACACCAGTATCAAGCTTCTGTTGTAGACTTAATTGGAGCTCATGAAATCCCACTGGCAGATTTGGTGCATTCAAATGAAGGTGCCCAGGGCTGGTATACATCAGACTCTGTCTGAGAAGGGCTTACTGGATTCATTTTGGTTTCTCTGCATCATAGTAGCAGCCCCACACAATCAGCAGTTCAAGAGTTATACTAGCCTATCATGCCAGGTAACTGCTACTCAGGTGAGAGGTAGACATATAGCTATAAGCCAATCTAAGCCTCCCCAGGACAGCCCCGCAAAACCCCAGGCTCTGAGGATAAGCAGTTTCTATAGCTACTGTCCTCATATACCCCCCACCCATGTCCCTCAACTAACCTTGACATCTGAGGTGTCCCCTGAGATCATGTTAAGCTCTAAATAGAGAACTACCAGGATGCATAATGCACAATATCGAGGCATAAAGATCAAAAGAGGCACCCACATTTTACACAATTTTCAAAAGTATGTGATGTAAGTGAAATGTTTCACAACATAGCAGAATATTTGATGTTGGTCATATTTAATTTTTACCTGTAGCTGAAGTAGTCTAAGAGAACAAACTAGGGAAAAGATAGAGAGAAATTTTCTTCTATACTTGAATAAAAAATTAAAATGTTAACAATATACACATAAGCTCTTGCGCCTCTCTCCCCCCCCCACGACCCCTCTTTTATCTTCCCCTGCCCCTCTCATCCTCTTCCTCCTCCTGTCCGTCCCTCACACTCTCATCTTGAAGTCTCTTATATGAATCAACTTGTCAAAATCTACACACAGAGACCACTAGAAGGAAAGGCCATGAAAAACAATTCACTGGTTAGGGGATTATAACCAATTTTAATTTGGTGCCTTTCTAAATGATCTAGTTATCAGAAGAAAGAGTAAGTTACTTACTACCCACCAGGACTTGAGATCAAAATAGATTCAAGTTTGGCCCAAGAGTAGCAGAGCCCAGGGCCACGCTGAAGACAAGCTTTGTTTTTGCTAAAGGATTAGCGCCATCACTGGCCTCCCCAGGGGCAGAGAACAGAACTTGCTAAAGTGACTATGACTTAAGGGCTCAAATCTGAAGCCCCTGTGCAGGCAGACAGGGCCTGGCTGTTTACCAAGACATTGAGCTCTGAGCTGGCCATGAGCTCCACCAGCCGGGGCAAGACCCCCGTGTCAACCACTTGGCCGATGCGCTTGTTGCAGCCATCGGTGAGGTAGGACAGGGCCCAGCAGGTGTCGGAGAGGACCTCACTGTCTTGGTGCTGCAGAAGGTGGAAGAGGGTGGGCAGCATCTGCTTCACCGCCTCGTCACAAGGGTACGGGTCCTTGTTTCGGCACAGGTTGGACAAGGTCCACGTGATGTTCCGCAGAAATGTGATCTGTGATGAAGAGACAGCTTCTAGCATGGGGCAAAGAAGAGAAAACGCACACAGTAGTGCCCTAGCCCTCTTTGATCACTATTATCGGCCAGCATGAGCTGAAGCTTCTGAACTTCAAATAGGAATCTGTTCTAGGTAGTGATGTATACTAGGGGCTCAGAAAGTGAGCATTATGTTTCATATTCAAATGTTTGATGACTGTTTCCTTATATTCTTCAAAAGCCTTTCCTCACACTAGTCAGTGGATGACCTAATTTCATTTTTCACTGGTAAATCAAAAATCAAGCAGAATTACTTGATCTTCCCACTAGTCTGTAACTCTGCTGACACGTTCTGAGCATACTTCTGATCTACTGGAGGTTCAGGGTTCCCACCTCAGGATCCCATCACTTTGCCTTTAAGGATTCTTTTCCTGGGACCACCTCCCACCAATATAGAAACACACCCTGTGACCTTCGACCTTCCCTTGGCTCCTGGCCCTTGTTAAGCCATCACCTACTTTACTTTGCAAAGTCCATGCCCAAAGAACATCTAGCTTCACTCTCTGCCTTGCGATTTCCCACTTCTCCTTCAGCCCCTCTAGTATGGTTTCTGCCCCTACTTCTTTATCACTTGTGATGAAATCAGCTCCTTTCAAGTCATCAAATCCAACAGCTGCCTTCCAGGCCTCAAATTACTGTCTCTCTCAGCTGTATTTAGTACCAGTCTAGTCCTTCAAAAAAGGCATCTGTGCTCCACCTGGCTCTGTATTGCCAAGTGGGCTATTTCTTCCCAGTCTTCTTGGTGGGCTCTGCCAGACTTCTGATTGTCAGGGCCCCTAGGACTTAGTCCAAGACTCTCTCTCATACTCTAGGTCAGGATTGGTCATCTTTTTTGGTAAAAGGCCAAAGAACAAACATGTTCAGCTTTGTGGACCAGGCTCTGTTGCATAGTAGTCAACTCTGCCCCTGTAACACTGCAAAAGCTACAGATAATATAGAAATACAGGGATGAATAAGCATGGTAGTATGACATTAAATCTTTACTTACAAAAGCAAGCTGACCCCTGCTCTAGCTGGTCTTGCACTGTGGGATGCCATATGTGTATAGAATCATTTAGAACTGTACATCCATCTACCTGACATTGCTTCAGCACTGCCTCCCACTCACTTCCACTTAACAGCTACCTCAAGGCCTGGTTCCTCTGGCCTCCCCAGACAAGAGCATCCCAGTTCTGTCTGCCTCTCTGCTTCCCTTTGCTAAAATCCTTCAACAGCAGCTGGAGGGGTCTTTCTGAAGATCAAACCACCTCTCATCTTTCCTTGAAGCCCTCCCAAGGCTGTCCTTTGCCTCTAGGGTGATGCCCATTTGCCATTTTATAATCTCTCCTCAAAAATTCCCTTGGTAATGCCAGTCCTTTTCTGGTTCAACCATGCCAGGTGTTCTTGCACCTGGCAGGCTGGGCATGTATTCCCTTGGCTTTTGGAAGCCACCTTCTCTTCATTCTTGTTTGAAGCAAATATCTAACCCAAATTTAATTTCTAATCCAGGAAGTCCTCTATTGTCACCACATCTGTCAGGTGACTCTTAGCTTCAAGTCTAGACATTATGATCCAGGAACCAACTGGTAACCTATTGATTCTGTCTGTCACTTGAATGGAAAGCCTGTCTTCTACTTTGGCTGGGTTGTAAAATTTTTCTAACGTTTTCATGAACTTCTTTCAATGTCCTCAGAAGAAAGATCAGAACTATTGACCCGTAAGGACAATTGAGATAGATTTTTACCCTATGAAATATTCAGTTCTAGGACTAGTTTGTAGCTCTGTCATAGAGACGAGGCAGCATCCACTGATTGAGTATTGATTTGGGAGTTCTTCCCCAATTTTCCAAGTTTGGAGACTTGCTTTCTAGCTAGGTTCTCTACTTTAAAAATACTCACTGGTATGGTAGATGAAACCAGGGCAAGCAAATGTGGGACAGCATTGCTGGAGATGATGATGTCTCTGAACTGTGGGCCATCCCCTGCAAATAGATACAAATATGACACTCAAAGAGAGAACAAAGAGAAGCCTGGGGTTGGTGACTAATTTTTAATGAATCTGCCCAAAGAGTGAGATGCCAAAAACCATTTCTGGGTTTAGATAGCATAGCATACTAGATCCTGGGTCCCCAAGGTGACAGCTGGGTGGTTGGGCCTGACATGAAAAGCAGGCACCACACAGCACACAACTGCTGTAGCAGAGGCTGCAGGCACAGGCAGTGAGCTCTACGTGACAGAGGCATCTAACAACATGGTTCTCAGGAAGACTATGGCCACTGTAGCACAAACTGTCTTCCCAGAAATCTTTGGCAGGGGCAGTAACTTCCCAATGCAACTCAAAAACTAATGGGTACTAGCCATCAACTGTCTAATGCTTCAGCAAGAATGGCAATTTTAGAGCCTAGAGGTCTCAGATTATAACCACCTTTTCCACCACCAGGCAAGACATAGTGATTATACCACCTATTTTTGCCTGTTCCTTTCTTATCCAAGCAAAATGTGAGACCAAGTCTCTATGGCAGTGCTTTATTTCTGCAAGCAGACTCATTTTATATTCTGTGTTTGATAATCCCAGTATCTGAAGCCCTTAGAGGTCTAATCACACTGTTTGCTTCTGCTGACTCAGCCACGAAGGGTTGCTGAGTCTCTGGACTTGAAGTTGCTAATACTATCTCATCTTAATATGTCAAAATCCTGAGGGACCTAACTGAGTTCATTTCCCCCAGAGAGCATGGTATTTACATTTAGCCAGGAGTCTGGGCCTTCCAATCCTGCAGCACCAACTCCTCAATTTGTACTTCCAGGCCATGCAAGAAACATTGCATCAAGTTCCCCTTGGTTGAGTTTTAAGAAGAGACTTTTACCTCAAGTTAAGAAAATTTTTTTTGTTATATGTTCCTTTGGCAATTTTCACTGGGAACAGAGTTCTTCTGGGGACCTGAGTTGTGTAAGAGCCACAAAACCCTACCTTGCATGGCCCAAAGAGTTATCTTTTGTTCCTACAGCCATTAAAATTGAGACTGCAGGACCCTGTTACCGGCTGATGTCTATGTACATCATTTACTTTCAGCTTCAATGTTTGGCCTCTGACCTGGGTTGTGCATTTTTGGAAAGTCTGCTATACCTTTCCTATCATTTCCAGTTATTTCTACTTAGAGTGTTCCAGAATATCAAGTCTACAATGCTACTCACAAAGCATCCATAGCAACCATATGCCCAGCCCTCTGTCTTAGCCCACTCAGGGCGAGCATCTCACCTGCTATATTGCCAAGAGCCCACACTGCCTGTTCGCACACAGTCATATGGGGAGAAGACAGGAGCTCAATTAAGGGCTGGATAGCTCCCCCTTCCACAACAGCGCGGGTCTGATCTGAAGTCCCTGAAGCAATGTTCGTCAGAGCCCAGGCTGCCTCAAACTGCAAGCATGGATGAAGGGAAGACTTCAGGAACTCCACCAGCCTGGGAATGAGCCCTGCTTCTACAATCAATTTTAGAGGAGGGTTCTTTTCCCGGGACAGCATTTTCCTTTGCAATGAAAGAGAGGAAACAAAAACAAATCATGGAGGCTGGGATTAGGAACCTCCTTTATGGATGTTCATGGCATTCCTAACTATCAAAGGAGACAAACAGCTGGAGCAGAGCTAGTTAATATCCTAGAGTTCAGCCTATAGCATTTTGCAGTGATGAAGCAACATTTTTCCCTTCAGGTATTATCTATGAGCTAAGACTCCTATAGAGGCCAATTTAAATTAAGCAATTCATCTCTGACAACACATTGCATATCTTAAGTTGTTCTCAAGGACAATGCAGAAGAGCAATTTGATCTCACTTTTGAATGGACCAGCCTTTTCTTTATATTTTGTGGGCATTTTGCCACTGTCAGGAATCCAAATAGACCATCAGAGCTCATCTCTAGCCACAAAATCTCAAGCAACAGAAGTCTATTTGGCAATACCTGGCTGCCTGCGTGGCCTGGAAACACAGGTCTGGATCGGAGGTATTCACACCTTTGATTATTTCAAGCAGGGTGAGGTTGACCTGCAAGGAAAGAGACTTCAGGTCAGAGACTCTGCTCAGAGAAGCCGTGAAAATCACCTAGACTAACTACCTAATGCTAGAACAGGCTGGATGAACAGGATGGTGCATCCTGCATGGTGACCTATATTAGGGGCAGGAGGAACATGTGATGCCACAGATCTGTGACATGCTCCTCATGCTCTGGGGGAGAGCTAATTCCTGTCATCACTTGGATCCCTAGCACCTTTTATCCCATGCAGTAAGAACATGCTAGTGAACGTAAAAAATGTCAAGTAAGGATCTCCAAAAAATTCCCTTCCATAAAAGCAACAAGAAAACTAAGGAAAATTATCAAAATCAAACATTCCCAGAACCCTAGAAATTAGCCAAAGGCTTGTAGCAATTTGTGCTGTTCAAGTCAAAAAGGCTAAGGAAAACAAGCTGAATCTCAATAAAGAATGCATGGGTTGGGCCCTCCCTGGTGGCGCAGCAGGTTAAAGAAACACTAAGAAACTAAAGTCACTTCAGCTTAGGTTGGATCCCCAGCCCCAGAGGTGACCCGCATGGCACAGCAGACCTCTCCTGACTCACCCGCTGCTCCCCTCAGCAGTGTACTTAGTCGGTCTGCTCCCTATTCTGTCTTGGGTTAAGCCTCTCACTTCCCCCCCCCCCACCTCTGACCTGTACTGTATGCATAAATACAAAAGTCTTTAAAAAAAAAAACTTTAAAAAAATGCAAGGGTCGTCAACATATGGAAATTAATGTAGTAATTTTACCCTCTTAATAGATATGGAGGGCGGGGGATATACAATCATCTCAATAAATGCAAAAAAACCCAGAATACTTTCGTGATAAAACACACTGAACAAATTAGGAATAAAGGGAATGTTCTCAACCTAATAAAGACAGCTACAAAATTCTCACAGCTAGCATCACACTTAATGGTAAATACATCAAGACTTAGAACTCCACCACACTTAATGGTAAATACATCAAGACTTAGAACTCCACCAATGTTGACTCTATAAGAAAGGAAACCTCCATATCAGAGCATTCTGGAAAGCATTCACAAAAACTGCATTGGCCAGAAGTCAACGTAGGACTTGCACTTTGCAAAGCTGGGGTGGATGGAGAAGAGAGAAGACAGTTTCCAAGTCATAAATAAAACTTTACCTGTGAGTGACTAGACATTTCTACTGAGAGATAACCTCAAAACCAGTCATTTCATGTTTCTGGTAAAGAAAAGCAAGTTCCCTTTGAACACAGATCCCCAACTCACAGCCCCAGAGGTAATGATCCTCAGCTTTTCTCACCAGTTATACTCTAACTCCACCCCTTTCATGAAAGACCCTCACTCAGAGCTTGGAAATTCTGAGTTTATTCACCATATTCAGGCTAAAGAAATTTAGCAAGGCTCATGCAACTTCGTTTAGAGCAGCCAAGTTCCTGACATACCTCTTCAAACAGTTGTCCAGAAGAAGCTTTGTCTGTGCAGACATGGGTGATGTTCCTTCTCTTTAAGGCCTGCTCATCTTTCTTGGCCTTCCGGAGCTCCAAGCTGACAGCCATCCGCTGCTGCCGCCTCATCTGGTGAGGAAAAGAAAAGATGTACTTAGAGCTGGGAGTATGTCACCACATTCAGCCTTCAAAACACACTTCAAAGCATGTTTTGCAAGAAATGTATGCAACAGCCTGGGAAAGTTAAGATCACGTGGCCATTAAATAGTCTCAGCTAGGATGGCCTCCTTTACAGCCACATTGAGTGACATCGAGGAAAATGTCACTTTCCCCTAAGTAAAGAGAGATCATGCACACCCTTAGCAGGCCAGGAGCCTCCGCAATAGACACATTTGAGCACAGCATACCCCGGGCGTGAGCACACATTCACTGCTGTCAATTAGTGGCCTGGAGACTGGGGACCTGAAGTGCCCTCCCACGCCCAGATGTCCCTGATCACTTCTACTGTTAGGGAATCAGCCTGTAGGCCATTTAAGTTTTGATCCATTTTACTTGACACTGGACTAGGGAGTTAGAATCCATACACAGAGCAGGTTCCCTGCCACTGTCCCCTCATGCTCACACCACCGATGAGAAGCACATCTGGACTTCTCAGTCCCAAGCCCTATTTCCTCACGGTGTGCTGATCGGCCATACCTGCATCCCAAACACTTTAGCTCCTCACTTAACCTTCTTAATATGAGTGCCTACAGCCAAGCAGCAAAATACCAAGCATCTGATGCTTCTCTCAAGCCCCTAAGAGGTGGATATCAGCCCTGTTTTATAAATGAAGAAATCAAAGCTCTCAAGTTAATGGTTTTAAGATCAAGATAATACTTTCTTGATTGAGGCAGCAGTTGTCTAATTCCAAGTCTAAGAGCTCCAATTGTCCCATCCTCAGTATTTTATGGTGAGCACTTCAGACAGTCTGAAAAGTTGAATTATTTGGCAAACCCTCACAGACCTCTCAGTGATGAGCACTTTGCCTTATTTGCTTCGACCCCTGCCTTCTCTCCAGTCCATTTTTGCTGCCTTTCTTCCCCACTGGCCCTTGACACAGAGGTGGTCATTTTATACTCACAAACATATCTTTGCCGTGGTACTTAAATTTTCTGAGCCTCTCTTCTGGGGCCTTGAAGGTCGGCATATTGACTAGAAGAAGTAACTACCTGTAGGCGGACAGGTACAAAGGTTTTCAGTGTCAGTGTACAGGTTACTATGTTTAATCCATTTGAGCTTAAACTTTTTTTTAAATATTTATTTATTCATACAGAACTGGGGTACAGGCCAGAGATGGGGAGGGTGAGAGGATTCACCAGGGGCAGAGTCGGGAGCAGAACAGGCAGATCAACGAAGTACACTGCTGAGGGGAGCAGCGGGCGGGTCAGGGGAGGTCTGCCTCGCCATGTGGATCTCCTTCGGGGCAGGTGGGGATCGAACTCATGTGGAAGTGGCTTAAGCTTCTTAGTGCTGTGCTTTAACCCGCTACGCCACTAGGGAGGGCCTGAGCTTAAACTTTTAAAGGGGTCTCAGTGGAACAGAGAGCAGAATCAGCAAGTCAGCTTCCACAGACACCCCTGCACAGGAGATGAGCACCCACTGAGGGGTTCCATTCCACAACTCGGTTGAGGGGACTAGCCTTGGGCTGCAGGAGTAAGGGAAATTTTTAGAGGCAGCTTTGGTGTACGGGGCCTTTGATGACTAACTAGGGTGTGCTGGGAGCAAAGCTGTGTCCCAGGAACACTGGAGGGACCATGATGCAGGATGGGGAGGTGTCCCACTAGGCTGCTATAGGGAGACGGTTTCTCTCCACGGCACATTGGCTCAGGCTGGGCTCACGCTGGTCTCACGTGTGACCCCCTCCTTTAGTTTCTTGACAAATTGTCTCCACACCAGGCCCAGCTACCATCATATTTCTCCCACTCCACAGCAATAACTCCCCAAGAGTTTTCACTGCTTTGACCATCCTCTAGTTCCAATGTGTTCCATATGCAGAAGGTACATGATTTTTCCAAGAAAAGGATCTGATCGTGTAATTTTCCCTGCTTCAAAAACCCTCTACTGGCTGTCCAGTGATTTTAAAACGCAACTCCTTGTGTTACCCATCCTGCAGGAGTGGGTCCTAACCCACTGCATCTCCAATGACTCTATCCTATTTAGGAATCTAAGTACCTTCCCAGTCAATCTGCTTTATTTTCTCCATCACTCTTACCACCCCCAGTATTTTCTTAGCTATCCATCTTCCTCTCCCTATTTCCAATAACAGTGGGACCCTGTATGCCTTAAGGACCATTCCAAAACCCCTTCACAACATGTGGAATATAGTTGGTAGGTACTCATATTCATTGGGTGGTTAAGTTCACAAAGGGTGCTGGCCTTTAATGGGGTTATTCTAATTAGGCCAAGGCGGAATACATCAGGGAAAAACATTTCTTACAAGTGTGCAATGACTCTCCATTTGTTTCTATGTATACAGGACGGGTCATGGCAGAAAAGAGACATAATGGAAGATAGAAAACTGCATAAAGAAGTTATGCAGCCGCTGGGAATAATTTTGTAGTGAAGACTAATTTAAACATATCATTTTGGATGGGACAGTGTAGACAACTTGGAGAATTCCACAAATGATATGAGAGCCAAGGCTATGTCTTATGAGGAGAGGTGAATTCTGTATGAGACTGGAGAAAAGAATTGAGTTTTGGTGACATACTAGCACCCAAGAGAATAAAAACTGGTGAGGGACCAGGAAAAAGGAGATGTGCGACACAAAAGAAAGAGAATTTGAGAAAGAACAACAGAATAATAGTGTCAGAGGCACTAGTAATAAACAATACTAATCCCAGGCCAGGCATGGGATTACTAAATCCCTAAGCCAAAGTGCCACCAGGCAGCCACAGAAAGGTAAAAGAATAAGTCCCTGAGACTCAGAGCAGAGACTTCATAAGGGCAACTTTGCCTGTTTTAAAGCATCGGTGTCCTTAGGACAGTGGGCAAGAATAACCCACAACTCTGAATCTGAGAAGGGGAAATGAAAACCACTTCCTGGAATTGACCAGTCACCACCCCCATGCCCAGTACAACCCACTCAGCAGAGGTGGAGACTGATCATTTCAAAGGCACTTTAAAGAAGCTCTCAGCCATTCTGTTGCCAAAGTCAAGTCGGCCACCTCCCCCCTGGGGGACTTAAAGGGGGGGTGCCCACAGTCCTTTAGGAACACCCACAGTTTTAATTGCTGTATATTTATTAGGAAGACTCACTCACAGAGGTTGGCTTAAAATAATCTCAGACTTTAGATTAGTTTACAAATTGCAGCTGGAGGTAGTTTTACCCCCAGCAACACATCAGAAGCTAGCACAACAGACAGAAAACTGTCTTGCAAGACAAGGAGAGCACGAAAAGCAGCCAGAGGGTGACCAGTTCCTATCCTTCCATCTCCTGTTCAAGTAACCTCAAATCCTGCTGCTCTGGAAGAAAACAGTCACTTTTTATGACCAAAAAGCAGATGACTGCTATTAATCATGACATCCTTTAAAACACCACCTCAAAGGACTTTTCTAGTTGCTGTAATAACCAGGTCAAGAGGATTATGAGTTGGGATCAGAGTTTGGGTTTAAATGGAAGCTATACCCTAGATCTCCCAAGAGCTAATATGCAACATTTTTTTAAGTCTGTGCTAGACCAGACAACCAGCAGCTTTATTTCAGGCAACAATGGCGAAACATGTTTATTGCCTGCCAAGAATGCTAGACACTTAAGATTAAATGAGGCAATGTTAATACAAAGGTAGAGACAGCCCCATTTTCCAGATGGGAAAACCACCTTAGAGATCATCTCCCTAAGTACCCACAGCTGTTAAGCATCAGGCCCAGGACTGCAGGCTCCATCTGACTCCTGTAGCCATGATTTGCATCACTAAGCTCTCCAGCCAACAAACAGGGTCTGATTAAGGAAGCAGGGAGTCACCTCTTTGAATGGCATTTAACATGAGGGGTGAGATGCCAGAAGACAGAAGACAGAAAGGCACCTGTTTTAGGCACTGGAAACAAGAGGCCTGAGACACTGCTGCATTTAGCACCTCATACCATGCCTCAACCACCCAAGTGGCCCCACCAGCTCAGTGAATGGGACTGAGTGTGCATGAGCAAGGCACTGCCTTGGTGCAAAGGGATGGCATGCTTTCACCGCCAATTCTAGGACTAATGCCATAGGTACTACTCATCCTTCTGCCATATCCTAGTTCTGGCCACAAGCAAATTTGGAAGAGGGCCCAGGAGTTCCAACAGTTGCCACCTTCCTTCAAATCAGATACCAAGTGGAAGGCCAGCCTGCAGTGGCGTAAGCAGAAATACAACTTCAGGTGGAAAGGCTCCTTCCTTCCCTCTCCCTGAAACATCTTGAGGGAGTAGTTTCAAAGTCACAGATCGTAGGGACAGTCTGTAAAACCAACTGCAGGCCCTCCCTGGTGGCGCAGCGGGTTAAAGCACAGCACTGAGAATCTGAAGCCACTTCCGCATGAGTTCGATTCCCGCCTGCCGCCTGCCCCGGAGGAGACCATATGGCGAGCCAGACCTCTCCTGGCCCGCCTGCTGCTTCCCTCAGCAGTGTACTTCGTAGACCTGCCTGTTCTGCTCCCCACTCTGTCTTTGGTGAAGCCTCTCACCGCCCCTGAGCCTCTGGCCTGTACCCCAGTTCTGTATGCACAAATAAATAAATAAATCTTTAAAAAAAAAAAAAAACCAACTGCAAAGCAAATCCTTCGGATTTCACAAGTTTTTCTAGTCACAGCTCAAAATGTGCTTCCTTCCCTCACATTGCTATTTGTGGCATCCAGGATGGCCAGCTACGCTGTCATCCTTTACAGTGCTATGAAATCGCCGAGCCACAGATTTTGACGCATGCACAAAATCAAAGTCAGTGCCTTTTCCCATTGGTTCTCTAAATTTGAGATCCAGAGAAAGCCAAACTCAATATTTAGACAAATATCACCAACTCAGGGTCAGCTCCGCTGCTCCCTTCACTATTCTTCCCCTGCCTGCCCTGGTGACAGAGGCGCCACCAAGGCCCCCCGTGATGCTCACAGTCATCCGGGCTCCAAAGCTGCCCTCCCCTCCCATCCGTTTGGGAAAGGAGAAATATGGGGAGGGGGAGTTGCAGTTCGTTAACGGCTGAGTCACTTTCTCCATTTTTGCTTTGCCTAGATTTTCCTAGATCTAGCCAAACTTTGACAGTGGACATCTTTCAAGAACTGAGAACTGTTTTAAAGTAGGGAATACCTCATCATTCAAGAGCTGACATCTAAAAGTAGCATTTTTCTGATTTTCACTGAGCACATATGGCTGTAGACAGGTAGCCACTTCAGAACTGAATTGAGCATAACTCCCTTACTCTTCCTCCAAGGTCACCTGCGAAAGCTCATACTGCCCTTGTGCCTGGCATTCACCAACAGACAAGACATGCCCAACGCCAGGTCTGACACAGGGAGACACTCCGCCAGGTGTCCCTTAGGGCATATGCTGGCCGTGAGGGGAGGCAGATGTCATTGGGAGGAAGGATACTTCCTGCCAGACCTCCTTCCGAGATAGCCCTCATCCCAACCCCAGATTTAGGAAGGCTCTGGTGAAGGGTTAGGATCAGATGGACGATCCCCATAGGTGAAAACATCCAGGTGCTGGAACATGGCAGAGAGGTCTACAGGCAGCTCTGTGCCTTGACACAGCTCCCTGCACCTTGCAGGTTCACGTCTCAACTCTGCAAACACCCCAAAAACTGCCACATCTCCTTACCCACACCAGGGACCAGCCAAGCACTGCGTAGCGCGGTTTCCGCAAACCCAGGCTGAGTTCAACAAAGAGAGACCAAGCCCGGGCCTCTGGGAGTCACCTCCAGACAGCCCCCTGCTCTGGGGAGGACAGACCACAGCCGCCTCACCACTCTCTCAGCTCTCACCTGGCTGGGAGCCGCGCCCAGCCCTGAGGACAGCCTTAAATGCCCTCAGCAGGCAGCAGGTGTTCCTGCGCTCTTGGCCTTCCCCAGTGGCTGACCCAAACAAAGTCAATGGTTCTCAGAGCTGGTTAAAATTGCAATCACATGAGTGCCCCTGATTGCGCAGCGATTTGGGCCCTGGCTCAGAGACAGGCTGAGCTGATCTGGGGGGCA